CCTAGGAAGTTAAAAACACCGCAGAATGTAAAAAATTCCAAGATATCCCTTAAAAGGGAGTCTTTGAACCCTAAGGTTATGAGAGGGTGGCTGCTGGGATTTAAGCAGGTCTGAGAAAGGGGGGTTCCAACCTGTCCCTCACACACACTGCCTTCACAGGGCAGACCCCTTCTCCTTCCCTGTTGTCACTTCTGAACAGGACAGTGTCTGCAGTTGAAGCTTCTAGAGGCCTTGCTGATACTCAGGGTGTTGTGGAGAGTAGGGGAGAAGAGGGTACATGCAGGGTAGGTGCATGCAGGGTAGGTGCCAGGGGTGCGGACAATTCCTGTCTTGTCCACTCCTATGATATCTCAGCCCCAGTGCTGCGAAGGCATCTCCCTATTCTGAGAAATTTTAAAAACAGCTCAAGTGAGAAGGTGAGGGGCCTCGCCAGTCATGATGTGGCAATAGTAAAACTGATTTATTCTTAGCCTCGGCCACTAGGATTCCGTTCTCTAAGATGGGCTTGATTGTCACTATTCCTCTTTGTGTCGGAATACCCCCAACTTCTGAACAAGCCGTTAGCACATTGTTCTCTGTCTGAAGGAAGCAGACGATGACACCGAGCTTTTTTTATTTCCCCAGATGTTTCCTGGGAACAGCTGGTCCCCTTCTCTCTCCTCATAGATACTGTAGGGGCCCATGGCAACAGTGTAGTGTGAACTAAATGTGCATACTCACCTGGGCAGGAGCATGTTCATCTGGATAGGGACCCGCAGGCACCTAGGGAAGAAGGTGAGAATGCCCTCCAATGTTTCCCACTCATTTCTCAGGGTCATATGAAAAGGTGGGAGCCCTAAGTAGAGGCTACAGAGGGGCGGGCAGGCTCAGCAGCTCCCAGCGACCCTTCTAAAGGAGTTTGGGGGTTACATCTATGAGAAGCAGGTAACTCGGCATGCAGTCATTTATGCCTGTTAAGGTCAGTTCGTCCTGTGTGGTAGTCAGTGGCTTAGGAATTTCTTCCATTGTCATTACTTACTTTTCATAACAGTTCCAGCGGGTGGGGTGTTACTCCAATTTCATGCAGACTAGAGGGTCAGGAGTTGGAAAGCTGTGCTCACAGTTGGGGCTCGGGCTTGGAGCCCTGGCTCTGCATGTAATGTTGTTCCGGCTGTCCCTCTGCTCGTGTCCACAAATCCCGGCCATGGTCCCTGAGCCCCACCTGGCGCATGGACGTTGGCGTGGGCCCAGGTAGCCCACACCAACCCTCAGCTCCCTGCACTCCAGCTGGTTATTTGACTGGACTTATTTCCTTGTCAGTGCGGAGGTAGATTCCTGAGAGCACCATTTAGAAAATGTCTGCCAACAAACGGAAGGAGGCCTTGTAGCCACCGTCCAACACAGGGGAGAACATCTCTCAGGTGTGGAAATTAGTGGCACAATGTTAGAATCTTTAAGAGACAAAGTGAAGCTGTGTTCCTCAGAGCAATGAGCGTTACTTGGGTTGTTTTTTCATATGACGCCATGGCCTTCCTAAGGCAGGGAGGGGGGAGCCAGGTGGTGGTGCAGCAGAGAGGGCCACACCCTTCTCAGTCCCACGTGCACCTTACAGGGCGGGGCGGGGGTGCCCAGGGATGGAGGCTGCCCGAGGGGCTTGGCTGGAATGTGGTGGGGATCCTCATCCGGCCCCGCTGGTCAGCATGGGGTCATGACAGGTGGCTCGCCCCCTAGCACAAAGGAAAGTACACCAGACCCTTGACCAACACAGGGGTGAGCTGTGAGTGTCCATTCATGTGTGGATTTTTTTCTACTTGCGGGTTGAGCATTCATGGGTTCATCCAACCACTGATGTCCACTGGGTGAGGCCCTGGATTTGGGACCTGTGTAAATGGAGACCCTTGGTAAGTCCATATTTGACAACTGGCTGCTGCTGGGAAGCAGGGCTTGGCCCCTGGAGTTCTTTGAGGGTCAGGCAGCTGTCATCAATATCAGTAGTATCTCATTGTTATGGAATCAGAGTTTTCAGCACTCTCGACGCCGCACGATTCCTCCCTCAGCTGCAAAGACCGTGTCTAAGAGAAGTCTGTCTTCTGGAAATAAATTTCCCCATAAATGGTTTCCTAACCATATTTAACAAGTGAGTTTGTTTCCGCAGCCCCTCTTAGGGCAGCGTCCTCCTCCTCTTCTGATGTCAGTTACATGCATGTTCTCATCTCCTGTCATCTTTGGCCTTGAAGCTAGTTCCTGCCTTCTCATGTAAAATTTTATATCTTTGGGGCATTTTCCATTCACTGTTTCTGTTTAGCCAAGTCCATTTTCACTAGATGTTCATGTAATTTTTGTTTTCTAAAGCTTTTAAGTTTCTAACACTTTCCAAGAATTTTAAAGAGATGATAGAAGTAGGAGATGACTTATGAATGACATTTTTAAAAAGCCAGTATATTCAGACATGGTATCTATTATTGTGCCTGTTTCTCTGACTTAAGCCCATTGAATCCTCATTTGTCTGGACTTCTGGCTGGCTGGGCCTGGGGCCGGGGCATATGTCTCCACAGAGAACCCCGCTCTGTTTTTTTTACTGCCTCTGCCTCCTCTGGGGGCACCAACCCTGGCACTCCTAAATGATACAGAAATAACTGATTTCTATAATGACTCTGTGGCCCAGTGTTTCTAAAATTACAGGTTGTGACCCATTAAACCAATATAGTGCTTCATATCCATCTTAAAAAAAAAATAGACTGTATCCGTTCACCCATAGTAAGGGTGAAGCAGGCATTGCAGCAGTGTGTGTATGTTAGCACCATGGCTTCCGGGTCATGATATAAAATGCCTGTTAGAGGCAGACATGGTTGAAATTCCCTGCTGTGCTGTATTCTAACATTTGCTATGCTTTTATGAAAGAAAAACTATTTATAATCTGTCTCCAGTAAAATGATTTTGAGCCTTGGGAAAATTGTCACAGGCAAGACAGGACTCAGGGGAGCGCTGCTGGGAAGCCCCTGTGTGGAGGGGAGCACATGTGGGTGCCTCTCAGTGGGCCCACACAGGCTCTGGAGGTGGAGAGCAATTCTGCGCAGTCACGGAGGCCTCCCCTACGCTTCTTCTTGTTCAGCTCTCAGCCCAAATATTCCTTCTTCAAGGAAACGTTCCCTGATCCCCCACCTCCATCTCAGACAATCAGTCTCCTCTACTGGAAGCTTCCATAGAACTACATTTCTCCCTATCAGAGCATTCAGTTTTAATATATTGACTCGTGTGGTCATTTTATTATTGTCTGACTCTTAAAACATGACTTCAGGGATGGGCGTAGGCTCTGTTTTGCTCACCTTACTGGCAGGTACTCGCATGGAGCCGCTCATGGAGCCAGCGCCTCGTCTACACTAAGTGCTTGGGACCAAATCTGGGACACCAAGTCCCAGATACCCCCAAGTCTGGGACGCCCCCAGGACAGGCGTGGACGCCTCCAGAGCTCAGCAGAGGCCTTCGGCTTTCCCCACACACAGGTCCACACTGACCAAGGGCCATTTACCCCTCTTCTTACTGTCCTGTCCTGTGCAAAGGAAGAAGGGTAAAGCAAAACTACCCACAACCATCTCTTGGGTGATGGTGTCTTTTCTGGCTTTGGTTGGGACCCCATAGTTCCAAGTTCTTGGAGCAGGGAAGAGTATTCAGGCATTCAAGTGAGTTGGAACCAGCTCACCTGGATTTTACAGTGGGTGCTGATAGAGATCAGCCGAGGCTCCCAGCCTGTCCGAGCTGGTGGGGAGATGAGCCAGCACGGTGAGAAGGGAATTGAGTGCTCTTGAGCACAGGGGTTGGGCTTTTCTTCTCTGACCCTGAGAGAATGACACTGAAGGCAGAAAAGTGGGGAAAAAGGTAAGTCTCAGTTAAGTATTTCCAGGATTGCTTTAGCATGCAAAACATGTTCCCAAAGAAATGTTTCAGAAACATTTTATTTCAGGTGGAAGAAAATGTGTACACTTCGGCTGGCCCCCACAGCCACTTTTATGGGGGCACAGTATCATCGCCACAGCCAGGGAGCTCGTGGGTTCTCGAACTGCTTTCCCATTTGAGAGGCCAGACCTCTGTGACCCTGAGCATCATTTCCACGGCAACCAGCTGTGATGAGATGGGGGTTTTGACCGACAGGACAATTGCAACCAGAAGCAGATGAGCTTTTAGATAGAAAATTTACTCTACAGCCTTGCACAAATCCCATGTAACTGAAGCTCAGTTTCCTCATCTCTGAACTCGAGAAAGGAACACACATTTAGATGGTGTGCAAGGGAGATCTGTGCAGAGAGGTTGTAGGTGCACATGCTAGGGCCACAACCATGCTGTTGATACAAGCCAGCCACCCAGCACGGGTCATGCTGCTGAAGAACATCTTTGTGCCAGTAGCCATAGTCAGTTCTGCCTTCTCCTCTCTGACCACTCTCCCTCCACACTCTTTTTCCTACTGGGTTTTGAACAGAGAAGCTCGCTCCTACCCCAGGGTCTTTGCATTGCAGTTCCCAGTGCTCTTCCTGGAGAGCGCCTGGCACACCCCCTCCCTTTATCCAAGTGTCTGGTCAGTCACCCTATTAAAAAGGCCCTCTCAGACCACCCCATATAAAAGTCTCCAGTGAGGTCCACCCCCTAATGCCTGTGTTTGTTTATTCACAACACTTAGGACCATTTGGGGTTTTATAAGCTTCATCAGGGCAGGCTTAGTGTTACTTTTCCCTCCCTCCCCGCCTTTCTTTTGAGTTTGCTGTATGTGTGGAACCAGCACATAGTAGGTCTTTTACTCCTTTTCTCACCTATTTAATTCTAGGAAACTTATTTCAAAGAATGAACATCTTGCCCAAGGCCATATATTTAGCAAGTGGTAAGCAATGATTTAAACAAACCTAGGTGGACACCAAGTATCTGCATGGATCCATCTTTCCTTCCACCTTTTTCCCTCTGTTTTAACACTGATGCCAAGCACCGTGGTCTTCTTTTCCTTTGTCCCACACTCTCTGTGTTGCTCCTTTCAGGGAAAGTCCGATGGCGGGACTTCAATCAAGAAGCTTACATTGGCGGGACAATGGTCCGCTCTGGACAGGACCCCTACGCCCGCAACAAGTTCAACCAAGTTGAAAGTGACAAGCTGCGGATGGACCGAGCCATTCCTGACACCAGACACGACCAGTAAGTACTCAGCTGAGTGTCTGCCTGGCCTCTCTCCTGCTTTATTTCAACCCAGTAGATATCCTTTACTGTGACACTAAAAATTCTCTATCACTCTGGAAAGTGAATGTGTGTTGTATCTTTATGGGGTCATGAAACTGGGAGAACTTCTGAGACTTGTGGCCATGGAACTTCCCCCATAGGACGTCAAGCACCATGTGGGATTTGGTTCTCTCTCTGTAGTGCCCCATGGCAGTATCCAGAGGGTGGGGGGCTTCAGAGCATGGGAGTGGGCTGACCTCATGCCCACTGATGACTTGTTATTTTTAAAGCCTATTCACAAAACACAGATTTCCATTGTTTATAGCCAGTTGGGAGGAAGGAAACCTAGATTCTAGCTTTTTGAATAGCTTAAGTTGGAAATGTTGTGATGATCAGAAAGGGGAAAAAGCAACCCAGCAGGGAAGGTGTTAAGTCGAGCAGAGACATGGAGACAGGAGGGACAGGTGACATCTTACCTCCATGTGCTAAGGGGAAAGGCCTGGGAGCTGAGGGTGCAGGGCACCCCGGGTTATTAGGCCCAATGCTGGAGACCTCCAGACATGATTGTATCGTATGTTTTGTCACCGTTTGAGAAAGTGACACACACCCACACCATCACTCTACACCTTTAAACCTTGTTGGTAAGAATAATTGATTGGGACTCTGTTCATGTTGAACTTCTTAGAGGGTTAGTGTTATGTCAGATTTTTTTTTTAAATCAACCACATTTGGATGGCAGCTGTTTCCCTGAGTGCTTTGCCGGCCTTCCTGCTCACAAGTTACTTTCAGAGTTATTCCAGCCAGTGTGGAACAGTGTGGGTCACATGGCCACAACTCAGACACTGAGATTCCAGTCCAAATGGTCTGGTCTCATTCCAGCGGGGGGTGGAGAGGGGGGGTGATGGGTGCACCTGAGCTGGTTGTCCAGCCTCTGGAGCTTGAAAAGGCTCCCCCAAATCTGCATTCACTTGGGGGAGGGTTGGGAAAGGTCTCAAGGAGAGGGGAGCCCTGAGCTGGAGAGGCCTTGGCAGGCAGCCCTGGGCTCCCAGAGGACCAGCCAGCGTCTGACTTCTCCTCATGCGTGTTGCTGGGAGAGAGGCGGCCAAGCTGGTTACACGTGAACGCATGTTAAGGTTTTGCTTTGTTTTATACATTACTGCCATATTTCAAAAGAGAATTTTTCTCTCCTCTCCTGTTCTCAGGGAACTTTACTGACACTGTCAGTACCAGTGAAATGCCAGGTATTCCACTCCCTTTTCTTTTTTTAAAGATTTATTTATTTATTTATACAAGCACTGGGTACAGTCAGAAGCGTGGGAGGGTGAGAGAATTCACCAGAGCCAGAGCGGGGAGCAGAACAGGCAGACTGATGAAATACACTGCTGAGGGGAGCAGCGGGCATGGCAGGAGAGGTCTGTGCGCCATGTGGGACCCTCACTGGCGGCCGGGAATCGAACCAGCACCGTAGAGGCTGCGGGCAGCTTCGCAGCCCAGCGTTCAACCGCTGCGCCACCGGGGAGGCCCATCCACTCCCTTTTCTTAGCCACTTTTTTTAGGTTCTGGTCACTTCTATTTACTCATAGCAGCCACTATGAGTGTAGATTTATGGTTCTTTGGGACCAGGGAAGTAACTGTGTGTGTGTGATTTTTAATATGTGGAATATGATTGATATATAAACATATATACCATATGTAATATTAAGAATCTCATTTTTCTAAATCCAGACCAAATTGTCTTTGTTTCATATTTCCCATAACCCATTAATTTTTTTTAAGGCAGTTGTAAAGGTAGGACTGGACACGGTGCAGGTTTTCTGATCCAGCAGACCGGGTAAAGGAGTCAGAGTTCCTCAGTGGTTTTGCAGGTTTTTATTGGGGTTCAGCGGGTACGTGGCAGGCAGGGGTGCTGGGGGGCCGGGAGGCTGGCAGTCCTCCCAGCCCCCAGCAAGTCTTCAATCTATCTGGGCTCTCCGGCTTCCTCTCGGCTTCTCTTTCGGCTACTGCTGCTGCTTCAACTTCGACTTCTGCTGCTACTGCTGGCGTCCCCATGACGCCGCCCTTAAAAGCCCAGTCTTAGCCCAGGTGAATCCCATCTACCTATGCCCACACCCTACTCCAGGTGCCCGCCATCAGGCATGCATTCAGGACAAGGATCCATCGTCTATCCTGATGGCGGAAGGGCAGAAAAGCCTGACATTTTCTTTACCCTACAGCAGCTTTTGGCAGTCTTTACTCTGTGCTGCTGGTTAAAGTCAGCGTGGTTATCTGTTAATACCATATCTGAAATAGGGTTTGTTAACCTGGGGTCCGAGGACCCCCAGGGAGCCATGCCTGGTTTCTGGGACTTTGTGAAAGTCTGAAGCTTGTGCATGATCACAGGTTTGCACCTGCCTCCACATCTGGTGAGAGGGTCCCAGGTGGGTACAGCCCCACCACCTTCTGTCCTCAGGCTCACTAGAGCCCTTTGCACACAGCCTCTGCTTAATGTTCCTTGGGGACCTACTTACACAATCCTCACAACTCACTGTGGTAGACATCAGATTGTCCTCATTGCAGAGGGAGCTGAAGCTCCCAGAATGTTAATGCCTGTGATCAGGAGCAGCTGACTTCAGGCCTGAAAGGTTCAATATGGCTTTTAAGAGGGATTTCACCCACACACAGGAGAGTGGTTAAAGTTCTAGCAGAATCTAGCTCAAAAATCTTACACGATGATTTGAGTCAACTGCTTAGAATTATATCTCCATGAGGTGGTATAAGTTTCATTTCACTGTTTGCTTTAAAAGCTACTTTTCCTGCTATGGCTTTTCCTCTACATAATTTTCCTTAGTGCTGAAAGAAAAATGGTATTCTCTCTGATGGCTTATCTGTGTATGGGCTGGTTTCTGCCTTCGTCGTAACTCCCTTAAATGTACCCCAAACTATGTATCTTTATCTTTTTCATTTTTGAAATATGAGCTTGTCCAAACAGATGTTTGAATATTCATCCCATGTTGGGATGCATTTTAGGTGGGTTTAATTTTAGTTCCAACCACTGTGTCGTGTTCAATTTGCATGTGCTAAGGAGCAGCTGTGATGCCTTTCACTTTTGTTGGATTTGGGCTAAATTAAAGTCTCCCAAAAGTCAATTGGATGCTTGGAACTGAACCAATGTACTGTCCTCAAAATATAAGCTCTAGAATAACCATTCTTGTTAAATGTCAGGTTATGAAGTCAGGTTACCTCTTTGAACTCTCCCTCCCTATATCTAATAGAGAACTATTAAAGCATTTGACCTTCCTATATAAATATCATATATTTTTTTGCCTCTCCCTTTCTGTAGACCTATGGAAATGCTTCCCAATAGAATTCAGTCCTGTGATTAATCTGAAAGCAGTACAGGTGGAAGTTAATTAAGAATAAGGTTTTAGAGTCATATGGACCTTGGTTGAAATCCCAGACTCTGCAATTCTTAATCCCATGGCCTTTATCACTTAAAAGATATTATTTCATCTGGTTACTATAAGAATTAAACAAAATGCCCACGATACTGGTTTTTTCCTCCCCTGAGACTTTGTTCAAATGCCATCTCAGTGAGGCCTCCCTTTCCTAGGGGTATCACACCTCCCCTCGGGGACACCTTTCTTAAGGGGACAACTTCTGCTCCCCACCCCAGCATTTCCATTTACCACTCCTTATCAGAATACTGAGTTGTTTTTCCTTATCAGACACCTTATCAGTTGTCTTTACTTACCAGAATAGTGAGTTGTTACATCCAGTGTTGTTATTTGGACAATTCATGGCACTAAGCTCAATAAATATTTCCTGTGTGAGTGAATTGCCTAGCATCATGCCTGGCCATGTAGTGTGTGCTCAGTAGATGCATTAATAAGAGTCATACCAAAACAAAGGAGAATGAAAGGGAGATTTTAAGCAGTAAAGACCCAATGAGCCCCAAGATGAACCCCAAGGAATTATACTGTGTGTGTGTTCTTCCAGAAATGGAGAACAGTGAAGTTGCAGTCTTCCTCTCATTTTCTATCCCCTGGGGAAAAGGAATCAAGGGCTTGGAGCTCTGCAAAAAGCCAAACAAACAGAAGACCCGACATGTTTGGGCTATTGTAGGGTAAGGTAAAAGGTATCAGGCTTTTCTGCCCTCCCACCATCAGGATAGATGATGGATCCTTGCGGTCCTGAATGCATGCCTGATGGTGGGCACCTGGAATAGGGTGTGGGCATAGGTAGATGGGATTCACCTGGGCTAAGACTGGGCTTTTAAGGGCGGCGTCATGGGGACGCCAGCAGTAGCAGCAGAAGTCGAAGTTGAAGCAGCAGCAGTAGCCGAAAGAGAAGCCGAGAGGAAGCCGGAGAGCCCAGATAGATTGAAGACTTGCTGGGGGCTGGGAGGACTGCCAGCCTCCCGGCCCCCCAGCACCCCTGCCTGCCACGTACCCGCTGAACCCCAATAAAAACCTGCAAAACCACTGAGGAACTCTGACTCCTCCTTTACCCGGTCTGCATGGGATCAGAAAACCTGCACTGTGTCCTGTTCCTGCCCCCTACAGCTATGTTTTATTTACCTATTTAAGGTAATATAAAAAAATTTGTGCCTCTATATATATATATATATATATATATATATATATACACACACACACACACACACATGAAAGCAAGAGGCTGAGAAAAGCCTACTGTGAGTGAAAGATTAGAAAGCCTGTTCATCTCATTTAATGTTATTTGAAATTTCAAATATATTATCAAGACTAAAAAGCAAGTTAAACCATAGGAATCTTAAAGGTACATTTTCAGACTACTTGTTTCTTACCTCTCTCCCCATTTGGGAGGCTGTTGTTATTGTCCTGGCCAAAAATAATGGGAAGCAGACCTGGAGGTGGGGAGCAGGGTCAGCTCTGATACACTGCAGGCCCCTGAACAATCACGGGTGTGAGCTGTGCGCATCCACTTATACACGCTTGGTTTATTTTATAAACGGACAGATA